TGGATTGGGAGGGAGACTGGATGAAACTCACCACATGTGTCCCCCTGTGGTAAACTGAGTTTTTGGACATGAGTTCGACAGGCACAGCTGTCTAGATATGATCCCATAGCTGACAGTGCATGTCAGAGCACAGACAAAGCCATGATGTGCAAAGAATTGTCTGTAGAGCTCTGACACAGAAAATTCCAGGCCAAGCTGAACAATCCAGGTAGAACAACCTTAGCTAGGGAGGAGAACCTGGCGGTCACTCCGACAGAGCTTCAGTGTTGCTCTGTAGAGAGAAGAAAACTTTCCAGAAATTCTCTGGTCTGATGAAACAAATATTGTATTCTTTGGACTGAATGCCAGGCATCATGGCTAGAGGAAACCAGGCACTGCTCATCACCTCCCCACTAAGCAAAGTGATGGCACCATCATGCTATGGGAAGGAACTGGGAGACCAACATGTAGCCACACATCTGAAAGCATATTGATTTGCTCTCCTGATATTTAGACTGTAGTATTGATATTTTAACCTTTCTTTGAATGCAGCAGTGTGTAGAGACAACCTTGAGGATAACGTGCTCCAGAGTGCTTTGGACCTGGGGGTAAAGTTTCATCTTGCAGTTATTTTAAAGCTACCTAACAACTCCTGTGTTGGCTATCTTGGGTCTGCGTCTTTGCTTAGTGCCATTATTTACTGACAGAACATCAGCAAAAGTTGTAACCATGAATGGCATCAGCAATTTGCCTGTTTTAGAGAGTTTAGAAAGTGTGTGTTTTCCTATGAAGCATAATTTTTGAATAACAATACAAACTAGAAAAAATTTGCATTTTCTGCGAAAATGCTGTGTGGATGCCGTAACGCTGAAGCTGTCTGCTGAAAATAGCTGAAAAAGATTAAAAGTTGCAAAAAGTGTATGGCGGTAAAGAAACTGAAAATTCTGCTGAAAACAGGTGAAGAAGCAGAAATTTTTGCTGAAAGGTGGTGAAAAGTCAAAAGCTCTACTGAAAAGGGGTAAAGAAGCTGAAATTTGTATTGAAAAGAGGTGAAAAGAAATTGTTCCATGAGCAGGATTCAAACCTGGCCCTACTGGTCTTAAGGTGGCTACTCAACTCACTGAGCCAAAGTCATTATCAAAACCAAAAAGATGGAGAGACTGACAATTGTGCTGAAATGAGCAGAAGATGCTGAGAATTGCGCTGATAAGAGGTGAAAAGACTGAAAATTCTGCTTAAGAGAGGTCAATCAGCAAAATTTCTGCAGAAAAAAGGTAAAGATGCAAAACGTTATGCTGAAAAGAGGTGAATCAGCAGAATTTCTGCTGAAAATAGTTTTTTTTCTGAAAACAACAAAAAGAAAAGCTGGGATTTGTGCTGAAAAGGGTGAAAAAACTGAAAATTTTGCTGAAAAGGGGTGAAGAAGCTAAAATATGTGTTGAAAAGACTTAAAATTTTTTAACTGTTAACTGAAAAAATTGTTGCCATAAGCGAGAGTTGAACCCGGGCCTCTCGCTCTGAGAACGGCTGCTCATCTCACTGAGCTAAAAAACAGCTCAACCCGGCAAGCAAAATTAGTGACCACATTGATAATGTGTTCCATTCATTTCAATGGTCAAAAGTCATAGCACACATTAGCAGAAATAGCAGAATTTTTTAAAGTTTGAACATAGTATTTATACTAAAACATAGTCTTTCTTCTAAATCATAATATTTGAACCAATTGATATTATCTCTGCCAAATCACAGGATTTCTGGTAAATCACAGTGTTTGTGCCAAATCACAGCATTTATACGAAATCATAGCATTTGTGACAAATCATAGTATTTAGCTAAATCTGTGCTAAAACATAGTATTTCTGCTAAAACTTAGTATTTATACTAAATAATATTTTTTCTGCCAAATGTCCATGTGCTGAAACATAGAAAATTCTGCCAAATCATAATATTTGAACCAAATCATACAATTTGTGCTAAAACATTATTTATGATTTAGCAGAAACACTGGGACTTGGTAGAAATACTATGATTTACATGCAATACATTGACTTAGGAGAAATACTATAATCAAGCAAAAAGTACTACAGCATAGCAGAAATTCTATCATTGAGCAAAATTACTAAGATTTGGCAGAAATACTATGTTTTTTGATTTGATTTGATATACCTTTATTAGTCCCACAAGGGGAAATTTCATAAGGTAAATGGCCTGTATTTATATAGCGCTTTACTAGTCCCTAAGGACCCCAAAGCACTTTACATATCCAGTCACACACTGGTGATGGCAGCTACATTGTAGCCACAGCCACCCTGGGGCGCACTGACAGAGGCGAGGCTGCCGGACACTGGCGCCACCGGGCCCTCTGACCACCACCAGTAGGCAACGGGTGAAGTGTCTCGCCCAAGGACACAACGACCGAGACTGTCCAAGCCGGGGCTCGAACCAGCAACCTTCCGATTACAAGGCGAACTCCCAACTCTTGAGCCACGATCGCCCATAAGGCTGCCGACCTATTGCAAGCAAAGGCGGCGCCATCTTACCCTCCGACCATACATACATTACAGAAAACATCACATGGGGAAGACAGGTCAGAGAGGTATAACAATGGAAAATGCACCACATGAGGAAAGATAAGGAGAAATAACTCCCCCCAGACTGAGCTCCAACAGGGAGATCAGTTTGAGAACATATCCTATGATTTGGCTCAAATACTATGACTTAGCAGTAATACTATGTTTTGGTACAAATGCTATGCTTTGGCTCAAATACTAGGATTCGGCAGACACTATGATTTAGCAGAAATAATATGATTTGGCAGAAATACTATAATTGAGTACAAGTACTATAAGATAACAGAAATATCATGATTTAGCAGAAATACTATGTTTTTGCAGAAACACTGTAATCTCGCTCAAATACTATGAAATAACAGTAATACTATGATTTGGCAGAAATACTACATTTTAGTACAAATACTATGACAAAGCAGAAGTACTATGATTTAGTAGTAATATAATAACATAACAGTTATACTTCGATTTTGCAGACATGCTGTGTTTTTGCACAAATACTATGATTTGGCACAAATGCTATGATTTAGCAGAAATACTATGATTGGGTACAAATACTGTGATTTGGCAATAATACCGCGTTTTAGCATAACTACTGAGATTTGATTGAAATACTATGATTTAGAGAAATACTATGACTTTGTACAAATACGATGCTTTGGCACAAATACCATGATTTGGTTCGAATACTATGATTTGAAACAAATACTATGATTTGAAACAAATACTATGCCTTAGTAGTAATACTATAACATAACAGATATTGCCTGTGCAGACATTCTGTGTTTTTACACAAATACTATAATATGGCAGAAATACTATGTTTTAGCACAAATACCATGATTTGGTATAAATACTATGATTTGACAAATATACTATATTCAGCACATATACTACAACATAACAGAAATTTTACGACTTAGTACTAATACTATAACATAACAGAAAAATATTATTTGCCACAAGTACTGTGATTTAGTACAAATACTATGAATTGGCAGAAACACTGTGACTTACTTGTAGTACTATAACATAACAGATATACTGTGATTTTGCAGACATAGTATGTTTTTGCACATATACCACGATTTTGCTCAAATACTATGAAATTGCAGTAATACTATGATTTTTAAGGAATACTATGATTTGGCAGAAATACTATGCCTTAGTAGTAATAGTATAACATAACAGATATACTATGATTTTGCAGAAATTCTATGTTCTTGCACAAATACTATGATTTGGTAAAAATACTATGATTTGGCACATATACTATATTCAGCAGATACACTATGACATAACAGAAATTCTACGACTTAGTAGTAATACTATAACATAACATAACAGAAATATTAAGTGGGCACAAATAATATAATTTGGCAAAAATACCATGATTTGGCACAAATACTATGATTGGGTACAAATACTATGTATTTGTATACTATGAAAGTATGAGGAGGTCGTTAAGTTTCAAAGACAAGCAAGTTTTAGCAGAATTGTGGAAGTTTTCCATTCATTTCAATGGGACAAAAAAAGGAAAAAAGTGTAATATTTTAAAAAGTATAATAGTAATAAACACCAAAAGTCATAGCACCCATCTCCAGAAAAAGCAGAACAGTTTAGAGTTTGAACGGTGAAAATCGGCTGAAAACTGAGGAAGTAGCTAAGTGCCAAAAAACGTACGGAAGCAACTAGATTATAGTCGAATAAAGAATAAAGAGAAACAGGATGCCTGTGAGGCATCCACACAACTAGATGTGAAGTGGTGCTTTTTTCAAAATAAGCTATCACCCAGTACATAGCACAAGCTAAACTTCCTCACAGACATTTTAAACAGTCAGTCAGTCCCCTTTTTAGGAAACGTATCACCTAAATGTCTGAATGCAAAGCCACATTTGGAGTATTACAACCTGCGCCCTCACAGTCAGGCAATAATTTCACAGTCCTGCCTTTGATACAACAGGACACTTGATTGTCTGTGTAAATATGACTTTTGGCCCAGCTAAATAATCCACAGTTGTATATGTTGCTGTGGTTTACTGTATATGTTGACGGCTCTGTCTTATGAAACCTCATATTTGAAAAACTTACATACATTTGAACGGTTTCATATTGAAGGCTACACCCAATATGAAAATATTGGGTGTAGCCTCAGATATTTTTGTTGGTTTTGTGCCACTTCAGTTGAGTTTTAGCTGATTATTCTTCTGGTAGTAGCAAGACTGACATATGTTAGAGTTTTACTCGAATTTGACAAGATGACGGAATACTTTATATCTTTGACCCACTCTCTTCTTCGGATTTGCATAAAACTTAAATAAAAAGCACATAATCGTTTAGTGATTAGTACGGCATCATAACGGACTTACCAACAGTTGTGAAAACAGTGCAACAGAAGAACATAGAGCCGAAAAAATCCCATCTATCAGGTCTCTGGAACCATATGGACTGGAACTCCTGCATTTTCTCCGTCACTCCCTCCACTATTTGTTCAGTGGCGGTGCTATTAGCTGAGAAAGAGAGACGAGAAAATCCCAGTGCAGAGCAAATCAGTGATGCTACTGATACAATGATAATACAAAGTCTGTTTAATTACCAAACCCATAATTAAGTTCACCAAAGACACGTTTGATCTGCTATAAACAGAGTTTTGTGAGCGCTCACCGGTGAGCTTCTGTACGGTCTCTACCATTTGGCACAGAAACTTGTGGTACTCCTCCTGGACAGCGGACGGTGTGTGTCCCTCGATGTGTTGGAAAATAAGCGCACCCAGCGCTGCGTATGCCACCAAAGAGGAGCACAGCAAAAGGTGCGGAACGAACCTCCAAAAGCGCGCCGCGCACTTCTTGGACTCATTCTTTACACTTATTGTTCTCTTCGTTTTCACTGACATCTTCGTCCCCGCAGCGCCTGCAGTCCGTGAGGAGAGCGCCTGTAGTTCCGTTAACTGCTGGCTGCGTCGGTCTGTCTCTCTTCTGCCAAGTGCAGAGAACCGCGAGTCCGTCGCGGGGTCGCGCACAGCCAAAGCGGAAATGATTTGGCTTTAATTAGTGCACGTGGTTAAAAATAAATAAATAAAAAGTTACGCCCTTGATGATCTTCAGTTGAACTTTTCCGAACAAGTTTCTGTTCCTGATCAGAGATCAAATTCACTCCACCCGTTAAAAACACATGCCAGCAGCCCAGACAGGGTGGCCCACATATTAACCGGCATCTCTACATAAAATCACATTTACACAGTTCTTTCAACTTTAACTTGCATTTTATTTTGAATATCTTTACAAATAAACCTTTACAAGAGCCATTCTTCCACTTTCTTCAGGACCCTATCCCGGTGGGTACAATCTAGACAGATCACCAGTCTGTCACAGGACACAGAGAGACAGACAACCATCCTCTCATATTCATACCTGTACAATCACAAATAACTGCATATCTTTGGCCTGTGGGAGAAGGGCATCAGAAAGGCAAGAGGTGGCTCCCAGGAGCAGAGTCATAACACTGAGGTTCAAACAAAAATATTCGATTTACAGGGCAAACTGTAACAAAATGATGAGACTCGATGGGTGTGGATTTACATGACATGTCTGAAAGAGGAAGGACATCAGATTTGACTACACGAAGTAGCTGAAATTGAAACCAACTAAAAAACCTAATGTGCAAACATGGGGCGCGAGGTGGGGTGGGGGGCAAACTGGAATGTGAGATGACTGTGGAGAGCAGGTGAGCGGGGAGCAGAGAGCTGCCACGTGACGCTCTTCTGAGAGTCTGACTCTGCGGCTGCCTGTGCTCTCACCGGCGGTGCATCCAGCATAGCGGACAAAACCTCTTGGTCTTCTGCTTTCTGAGTGGCTGTCCTCCACTCCTGTTCCCTCCACCCGCTTCACCTACAAGTGTGAGTTCTGCAACACATTCACCACACAACGTCAAAGCGCACATATTCCTGAGTTTATGACTTGAGAAGGCACAGATGGTCTAATCACACCTGTGGTTGTGAGCTGTAAATAAATCAATGAGTGCATTTTAAATTACAGTTTGCAGCTTAAGTATATTTGTGAAAGTATCCCTAAAAATGAGATACTTACAGAAAACTTACAAATTTGTCAAGGAATCAAATAATTATATTCTGCACTGTAAGTTATTGTGACAGATCTCTTTTTTAAACTTAGCCGTTCGGGGGTGTCTGTAGCATCATCTACTGATGGTTGATGGTTCAATCCCTGGCTGCTCTAGTCCAAATATCCTTGGGAAAGATAATGGCACCCGTCCATGAGTGTGAATGCTCGGTAGAAAGCACTTACAGCAACCGAACACTTGAGGATAGAAAGCAGCGCTGGCACAGACGGTGGGTGAAGGTGAACACAAACGTCTCCTCAGGTAAAAGCTCTAAAATTTACTGCGTACTTTGATTTTTTTCATATCGACGGTCAGCGTCAAGTTACGTACCCGCCACTGTTTGAATGAAACAGTGTGCGTTTCATACGTGTAACACTCACCCTTACTTATGCTGAAATAGGCCAATGCTGCTGACGGCTTCCCATGATGCACTTTGTGTTTTTAATACATTCCTCTCTTTCCGTGTATTTATACACACCTTTTCATTTAGTTACTATTAATCTGTACCACAGCAGAGCGCCGTCTTTGTCCCGTCTCCTCCCTCGGCTGCTCCGCCCTGAGCCAGGTTCTGCTGCTGGGTTCTGCTGCTGGGTTCTGCTGCTGGGTTCTTGTGGTGTGCTGTTCCTACTTGTTGTCCACTGATTGCTGAGGTTTTCTTTGAGTTCTTGGAGGATCTTTACCCTACAATATATCACTCTTTGTTATGATTTGATGCTATAAAAACAAAATGTAATTGAGCAGCTATGGTGGAGTGGGATTTTGTCTTAGCAACAAACTCAATGGGCACATTTTCAGAAACTGTATTATGTTGTCTGTCCTTCATTTTGGCGGGTCTGTTTCCTGTTTTGAGCGTATCCACCCCCGAGTTTCCCAGACTGGAGAAAATGTGATAAAAAGTGAAAATGAACGTATTACCCTGAACATCTTGCCCTGTGAGGGTCTTTGGTGGATGTTAAGTAAAAGCACTGTCCTTTGCAGGTGATCACTGATTAGAGCGACTGCACCTATGTTGATGTCGACACTATTCATGTTCCCATTTCAGGAATCAAGACATTTATTGTGTTTCCAAGTGTTGAAGTAGTGTGAGAAGGAACAATATAACGTAGTGGGGGTCCCTGTGAGGCAGTATTATAACAAGCTGAAGAAGTAGCAACTGAAACAGTGATAAAATGTAAAATTCAAGAATGTGTCTGAGATAATTAAGAAATAACACATTTTTAAGGTGAAGGGCCTTGATACATATGAGGATGAATATAAGCTCATGTTAAAGGTTCAAAGCACAAACATCAGATGTGAGGTTTGGATGTTTGGTCTCCTTCCTCCGTGGAGCTCAGCTCCCCCTTTGTTGTATTATTAACGTCACTGCAAATAAACACACTGAACTTTGAGTCCAACCTGCCTCGCTGGCTGTGACAGGATCATCTAACAACATAATGGACTCACCAGCTCTCAGTGGTTAGGTGCGGCCTTGGCTCATAAGAAACGCTGCTGGACGTGCCGATGCTTCGCTACAACACCGGAGAACTCGGCGCAATCGCTCAGTAGATCGCAGAAGTCAAAAGTATGACTAGCCTCCTGCTTCTGCTGCGATTCCTTCTGCTCAGGTCACACAGCCACCTCCTCCTGACACTTTTCAGCGTGGAACGACCTCGCCTCCCCTGAGGTCCTCACAGGTGAGTTGGATGAATGTGCTGGATTCCTCACCCAGTGTTCCCTGGTTCTCAAACCAAAAGAGAACATCTGAATCAGACTGGTGACTGTTTCAGGACAGAGCACTGAAATGAGCCCAGCCGGGGTTAATCTCCAAACTCAGCAGAGTTTTAGATGAAAGCTTAAATCCTGATGCAGCTACTCATCACATTTTCACCACAAAACAAGGTAAACAGAGTGTGGCTGACGTCTCTCTTTATTGTTGGGTTGCAGCTGATGGTGGCAGGAAGAGGCACTCCAAAGAGTTTTCTATAACTCGAGTGATTAAAGAATAGATTAGCTGCATAAGCGTGGCACACATCACGGGATTGTCTCATTCACATGTGCGTTACAGTAGTTAGAAAGCCCTTTAATTAGTCTCTCCAAGTCCTTACAAGTAAGAACACCAGAAAAGACTCACAGCTCACAGATCCAAACCTCTCTCTCTCTCTGACAACCACCCTGAAGAAATCAGTTTGCATCTGTTTGAAGCGCTGATCACTCTTTTCTTCCTTGGCCACCCCTGGTTAAGACGCCATCTAGCCAGCGCTGACATTTTGGATCACATGCTGTTACCAGCATTGCCTGTCTCACGTCTCTTTCCTCTGATTGTCCGTCACAATTTCCAGTTTCGCCTGACCTCTCTTCTATATGACATGTTTATCTGCCTGAAGTTATTCGACTCAGCACTGTCTCTCCTGCCTCGTAGACCCTGCGTCTGTACCGTTGACCTCCTTCCCAGTACACCACCACCCACCAGTTGAACAGTTTGCTAAAATCAGAACCAGATACCCTGGAAAAATACATCACAGACGACAAGAACCGAACAGCAGGCGGGTGCTCTCGCTCTCCTCTGTCTGTCGTTGTTGTTGTTGCCTGCTCTAGTGGGCAGAACTCATCCTGGGTTCCCGTATCTGGCTTCACACCTGGAATAGTCACCCACCTTTGGCTGATGATCTCATTAAGGACCACTGGCTAGTCACTCTTTGCTGGATCGTTGAGAAAAAGCCACAGATTCCTGGTTTCCCTTCCTCAGTGTGTGGAGATCCCACCCAGAGCTGAGAGGGCGTGTGTTTGTGTCACGGTTCTGGGTCAGTTTGACCCAGTATTTTGAGTTATGTTTTGGTTTACTTTTGAATGATTGTTCTTTATGTTTCTCTGGTGCTTTGTTGGGTTTTATGATGAATCTGCCTTTCAAGTTACTTTGGTGTGTTTGTTTCCTTATTCTCTTAGTGCTTGTGGTGATGATGATGTTCTATGTTCCAGCTTACTCTGGTTTATTCCTAGTTCTGCCCGTGTTAAGTCTGTGTTTCTTAGTCTGCATCCTTGTGTCTTATTTCCTGTTTTATTGTGAAAGTCCATGTCTTATGTTAGTGTGTGCCGCTTTGCTCCCCCTGTCTCGTTAGTCAGGTTTCTCCCAGCTGTGTCTCCGTCCTGTTGCCCATTCCCTGATTACCACCCTGTGTATATTAGCCCTGTGTTTTCCTGTGCTCAGTGTCGCGTCGTACCTTCAACTAGCTGTGTGTTCTGCTTCTATGTTCCTAGTGTTTAGTCTCCTGCTCCAGTTTTGTATTTCTTTTCCAGTGTCTCAGTCCTTGGTTCCTCTGTTCAGACTTTTGTTTGTCTTTTGGTGAGTTTAGTTTGTACGAGGTTTTTCCCAGCAATAAAGCTGCGCTTTAAGTTTCACTTCTGTGTCTGAGTTCTGCATTTTGGGTCCATCACTCCTGCCTGCCTGCCTGCCACACAGCGATTCATGACAGTTTGTGGATTATCTGATATTTGGATTCCCTTCCTCCCTGGACCCCTGGACCCCAGTCCCCCCCTTTGCACTTGTCTTGTTGCATCATTAACATCACTGTAAGTAAACAGATTCTACTTTGACGTTCCAAGATCTGAATCAGAGTCCAACCTGCTATATTAATTAAAAAGTACAATAAATCAGAAACATTAATTTAATGGCTAAAGAATCCAAAGTTCAGCATTTTAGGCAACGTTTTTCGGGAAGTATGAGCTGCCACTAAAGCAGTTATGCCCCTTTAATCTCTTCAACCGAATGATCCAGCCCTCAGCTCTACAGACAACAGATGCTGTGGGATTTCTATATTTAGTGACCCATGTGAGAACCAACTGTGTCACAATCAGACACCAGCTGTGGCCTCTTTCTGTGATAGTCTGTCAAACACAGTAAACACTACTTTGACTTAATTTGAGCGAATCAC